ATCCCTTTGACTCGGGACATTTTTACCGACAAGAAATGGAAAACCAACGAGTGACAAATAATTGTACAAGTAACCCACTCACACGACATGCCAAGTATACGCAAGTAACGATTATTCGTCAAGTACACGAGTCGTTTGAGCCCGGCTTGACGATCGGCCGAATATTCGTTATTCGGCCGTAACTATCGGCCGAATATCCGGTATTCGGCCAGTGACCCAAACCACTATTCGGTGCATCTCTAGTTGCCAGTTGCCACGTGTCCGTGCTGCGTTAATGACGCGACGGCAGAGACATGAGTATGAAATGGACTGCGTGTTCCGCATAGTTGCCGTACGCGGCAGTGATGGAAAGATGGTTAGGCAACCAGTCTTTCGCATTGTGGGCAAGAAGCTACACAAGCGCATTACCCACAACGAGAAATAACACATAATTTCATTTAAAGGTGACATATAATTAGTTATCCATAGTGTATCATTAAAAACTAAATACCAGACGTGCCTAAATATATGTGTTTTGTGCAGACCTGTGAGGCATAAAAATAAAACAACACTTAAACGTTAGATGAAAAAACCTCTTATTCCTAAACAATTCTTGGGCAAATTCAAAGGCACAAAATACTAGATTGTAAGGTACAAATACTTAAGGGCCTCATACACTACGATGAAACACGACGGTTTTCAGCGCCACGATGAAACACGTCGTTCTAAAACCGAAGTGTGTAATAGAAAAACACGGCGGTTTTCTACAGGGCCCCACAGACTACGATAAAACACGACGGTTTTCATCGCCACGATGAAACACGTCGTTCCAAAACCGAAGTGTGTGGTAGAAAACCGTCGTGTTTCATCGTTGGTTTAAAATTCAGTCCGAGCTTGATTTTTGGCACGACGGTTCAACATTTCGTACACACAAACGGTTTTCTACCACACATTTCGGTTTTGGAACGACGTGTTTCATCGTGGCGGTGAAAACCGTCGTGTTTCATCGTAGTGTATGGGGCCCTGTAGAAAACCGTCGTGTTTTTCTATTACACACTTCGGTTTTAGAACGACGTGTTTCATCGTGGCGGTGAAAACCGTCGTGTTTCATCGTAGTGTATGGGGCCCTTTATATGTAAACTTAAATTTAGGATTTAGATGCAAAACTGATTTTAATTCTACTGGTTCTTAAAAATTACAAGTTTTGTATACATTTGCCTAACTCTATCAGTGATTCTACTTGCTTCCTTATTCTGATCATGGATTCTAACGAGAAAATAAACACGTAAAATTGCGTTGATCAGCTGAAGTCAATGATTATTAATAGGATCTTGGTCCAATATATGATCACCAAGCTTCTTAAAATAATTGTGAATGTTCATGTCACTCATGGTCCATATTATAATTTTTTTGAGTGTAGTGTTTGGAGTGTAATGAGTACGAAAATTTTTTTCGGCTAAACTGCACAGTTTTATTACATCTTCTGATGCCTTACATAATCCCCCAAGATCTTTTCTATTTAGTAAAAGTGATGACGACTCATCAGAAAACAAAAAATTACAACAAATCGCGTATCTAACACTAAAGGCGGTTACACACGGGCGTGGATGACTTAATACATATACGTGCATACATCAACGTGCAAACAACAACGTGAATGTCGCGTTTGTACAGACGCTCGCACAAAACTGCAGTTTTGCTATTCTTGCTACAGTAATCCGAGTGTGCATACAAAATTTCTAGCGATTCTACATTCAAAAACGCGACAATATTTTGCATAGAGTCCGCGTCAAGAGTAAAGAGTACGGTGTCGTCATATGCGCACAAACCCAATTTTGAAGACTGACCGAACTATCGTATCGATCGGTGCTGCTGCCGAACGCCAAGCACGTGGTTCATTGTCGTACGGCCAGCAGGCATATTTATTTAGTTTATTTTCTATCCAAGTTTTGTCTAAAAAGATACCCCGCTGCTGGTTTCAGCTCACGGCCGAGGTCACGGCAGACAGCGAGAGATAGACGAGAAAGAGAGAGATCCGACCCGCTTCGCGCAGCTTTTTATGTCGTCACCGTAGTCTTTACTGCTGACGTGGACTCTACACACTGATTTTTTTGTTTGCGCGTTCATGTATGTGCGTACATGCTTTCAGACATCCACGTCCGTGTGTAGCCGCCTTAACGTATAACAAGTGCGCGCGGATTTCTGCCCCTAATGTGCAGTTGGGGTTGCTTACCATGTTTACATCACTGTTCGTGCCATACGCCCAGTCCATTTCATACTCATGTCTCTGCGCGACGGCGATTCAGCGCAGTAAGTCGGTGACTCTAGGGCGTATTCCGGATTGATGCTCGATGGAGCGAGCGGAGCGATTCCAGAGCATCGTGACGTCAGGCAGTGCACTCTGGTCAAACCAAATGTACCATCGTCACCAAAAGTAACTGGGACAGCATCACATTAGCTCTTGTCCTATTATATGAATTTTATTGTCAAATATTTGTCAAACTATGAATTGAATGCATTGGAATGAATGACAGTAGAATTAGTCCAGGAGATTATTATGCATTATTTGTGTCCCAGATACTTTTGGTGACGATGGTACTTGGTAGGTACTATCCAGGATTTGCATTCTGTTTAGTTTTTTCTTAACCAAATCCTGAATCCTGATTCCTGATGTTTATTTTATTTGTCTGCTATTCAAGTTATCGACACAAGCTGATATGGAGGATAGTAAATGGCTTGGATCCATACACTATACACCATTTATATAGAGAGACTTTCTGGTTTTTTAATATAGAAAGATTTTTTCTCTTTTGCTACAATCCATGAAGCCCTCACAAAGTACAGACAAATCATTTTTCTCCGGTAAAACCTGTGTTTTGTCTCTGCAGGAACGGCATAAAACTAGACTTTCTCGCGATAAGAACGGCTCCTACAACTAAGTACAATACATAACGTATGCATTTTCCAAAAAATCAACACTTTACAGACTTTATATAAATCAAAAATCGCAATAAATGGCTTTTTTTTTTTAAATAAAAAGGCATTGGCCTCCATTTTGAATTTCATTTTGACAGGTCGTTGGATTGCCCTATAGACTGGAATAGAAATCGATAAACCTCATTTATATCGATTTTTTTTTCCTTTTCTATGTTGTTCATTCAACTAAAAAGAAAACATGTCGATAGGGGACAGCTTCGGCCGGTAAATCGGGCAACTAAGCGCGTTTTGATTGGTGCAAAATCTGGCGGACTATTCCAAATATTACCATTTTTTTTTCTTTAATATCTCTCTCAATAATTTTTTTAAAAATCAACCACATAGCCCTTTAAGTATTTTATCGGATAAGCTTCCAAACCATATGAATGAAATACTTAAATTCAGTTGAGTGGGAAAGACCCATTGACGTTTCCTATTAAAAGTGTCCAAATTGGCCCACCCTGTACAGCGCAGACATAAAATTATGAGCCTAATAAGTGCCAAGTTCAAGTAGATATAAGACAAAAAAGATATGAATTGAATCGGTTAAAAAATAAAAAATGTAGAAGGGTGGTCAGTCCTTTAGTGGGACACACTGTATATGTGTTCGATAGAATATTTTATTCTAATTACAATGATATGATATGACACATTTCATATTTTGGTCCACTCGTTTTCGACAATCGCCAAATATAACGTTTGCCCAAGACCTACCCGATACTATGACTAAAACGATCTAAAGACACACAATGGATAAACTTTTGTTTACTTTCAAACCTGGAACCCTGTGTATTTTCTATTGTCGTATAAATAAATAAATAAATAAAATAATATGGTATTTGCTTTTAGGGCTGCTAACCCAAACTAACCCACATTCTCTATATTACAAAAAAAGAGTAATTCCTTTCATGTTTAAAGCAAATTTTTCATTAAATTATTGCCTTGCTTGTTTTTTTTTTTGAAAACTGCTTGTATAAGCAATACAAAATATAAACATGAAATCAAGGTACAAAACATACTATCTGACAAACATTGCAAAGTTTAATGAAAACTGTCCAGTCGAAATGTATGTACTGGGTGTTTGTTTATAACTGGAACACTCAGTAACTTTCTTTTTATTGAAAATCAAAGGCATGTTAAAATTGGAAAATTTCTTGGTAAATTGCAACCTTAAGCGCTACAACGATATTTTTTTGTCGCTATAGGTATACATGGTGCGCCAAAAAGGTATTTTTTTAAAATGAAACGCCCTATATATTTTTGTTATCCAAATAGTGTTTGATATTTCTGTGAAGCTAATTTTCTAAGAATTTCGAAAATGCAAAAATATACAGGGCGTTCCATTCAAAAATTGACTTTTTTTTGGCGCACCCTGTATACCTATGGTGACAAGAAAATATCCTTGCAGCGATTGAGATCGTTATAATTTATATACCAATAAATTTTCCAATTTAAAGATGCTGTTTATTTTCATTAATAAAAAAGTTACTGAGTGTTCCAGTTATAAACAAACACCCAGTACATGAAAAGCCCCATAGATAGGTAATAAAACAAATTAAACTCCATTGAAAATGTAGCGGGTAATAGGTAAACGTGTCGTGGGTATTCTGCTCTTTGTCAAGCTACATTGATTAAAGTTTCAATCCATAAATTAGTGATGTTACATGAAGACAACATGTGTAGGACGTTTAATAGAATCAGATTTCAAAGGGAATAAAAAAAATCGAATGGCACCGTAATTGGAAAATAAAAGCTTCATATTATGATGGATGTTTCCCGTTTTTTTGATGAGTTCGTTGCTGAATATGGACTTACAAGATGTCAACAAAGCCCTAATTACATCACAGAATTACATCAATAAAGTGACGTCTTCTATAGTTTTGTGTAACTTGAAAAATATATTGACATAAATGTAAGAACGGCAACATTGCAGTTGAGATTGTAAGACACTGACAGGATCTTCAAATAGGCTGTTTTAACTTACACTTAATCAACCCCTGTCATAACTCTAGTCACCTTATTCCAAATTTCATATTGTGAAAAAATCAACTGAGATACTTACAGGCTAATTTAACATCACCGGCGGCGAAAACCGAAGCCGCACGAGGTCGATGAGTGACCAGAGCCAATTCTCCAAAGTATCCGCCTTTGCCGATACGATTTATTTCGATTTCTTTGCCGCTATCGTCCAGGACGCTGATAACTACTTCGCCTTGTTCCACAAAGTACATTCCATCCGCTGCGTCACCCTGATGAATATCAAGAATATTTTTGTCAATGTTGCATGTTGAAAACCGAGTGGAAATAAATTCAAATTTGAAAAGGTCAAAAGAAGAATCGATTGTAGCATAATACCAGAGCGGGACTTTGAAGTTGCAATTCGCTTACCTGCTTTATAATTCGTTCTTGTTTACCGAACGTCCTAGGAACGAGAGCATCGGCAAGATTCATCCTTTCGTATGCCTGTAGTGTTTTGAGCATTGGCACACTTTCTATCAGTGATTCGTACATCTTCCTCTTTTTGAAGGCTGATTTTAATAAAATACGTCTGAAACAGTAAAACAGTATTCAAACAAATGTTTTGTAGTTTTGATTTATTTGTTATATTATTAATTTATTTCTGCACATTACAATTACAAATAAGCAGTAAACTATATTTTCGGTAACTAAATTTTCCAATTCCAATACATCTTACAATAGTAAGTGTAAGTGTAATTTATAGCCCGCAAATTAATAGACCTTCGGGGACATTATTGGACCGTGATCGATAGTTTGTTAACTAACGCCTAATAATTGGAGCATAGCTGGATTTAGTGCATTCACTATCTAGCCTTTGGAATCATAATTAAAGTTTCGAAAATTACAATAATTATCAACCCTTGAGTCATAATTTTTGAATATAGATATCTGGAAGAAAGGCACAGTTCATGCAAAACTATATTATGTACTCGATGAGATTCCAAACGTAGGCAAATTGTAAGGGGTTGAGGGTTCCTAGCAACTCCTTATATGTCGAAAAATGGCCAACCACATATTTCATATGTCACGTTATAACTTTGAGGCTGGAACTTAATTAGTTTATACACGTGTTTATAAAGTGAATGAAGTGATTGTAATTTTTTAACAAACAGTTATGTATTGAGAAAGCTACAGAGTAAATACAGAATAATATCTTTGCTAGATTTCTAGTTACAAACTTTTTTTAATCAATTTAACATGTTCCTGATAAGGCCATACGAAAAATGTTCAATTAGCCTCACATCACAGTGTTTTTTTGAAAGAATATATCATATTATTACCCAAGTAAGTGACGTTTTTTAGAATGCCTGGACGGAGTCTAACCAAGCAAGAGAAGATGCGATTCATTTGTCCTAGTTGTATGTGGACCTATTTGGATCACCATCCGAGGACTTAGATTATTGTTTTCTTTTTTTTTTAGAATACAACAAACATTTAAGTTCTATTTTGTGTACTATTTCTCAAATACTAATATTTTCAGAAATAATTGTATTTATTTTAAACATGTTTTAATGGAGGCCTTATTAGGAGCATAGTGATCCAAATTGGGCCAATGTTAAGCGTCTTTGTTTTACGCAAAAACCACCACTTATACAGGAAGAGTTACTGAGCGCGCGGTGGTCCATATCCCCTATAATTACGGAAATCGGAGAAAAAACGAAATACAAAACTTATAAATAAACATGAGTACTACATTCCTAAATTATTTTCCAATGTACTAGTGTGGCCCAATGAGTAGTGGTGACACAAATTTATGTTTTTTTAAATAACTTTCCCTATAGGTATATTATTACATTTCTGCATTCTGCGTAAAATTCTAGACACATTTCATGAACAATGTCATATACCTGTCTTCAACTGTTTTGGAAATATTGATAGTTGAAAATTGACTTTTTCTACGACCGTGCGGGAAATAGCTCTTCCCGCACGATTTGCTGTGCGGGAAGACTTTCTTCCCGCACTCAGTGCGGGAAGAGTTTGAAATAATCATTGTGACATGGAATTGTTTGTATTGTTGATACACCTATACCTGAACCTTTACATTTTCATAAACACCTTCTAATACATTTTTAATTCTACCTTCTGCATAATCGCATTTTATTTCAATAAAACTCTTCGTAACATCAGCTTTAGTATGCTCGTAGAAAAAATATAGTTCCTAACTCTTGCGGGAAGAAATTTCCCGCACTCGTTAGGAAAATAGCTATTTTGCATCTTTGACAGACCTGAACGATTAATTTTACAGCAAAACCTACTATACATTGGGTGCGTTCCAAAGGCCACAACCGTTGAGACCGCTTAGTGAGCGTAACTTTCCAAGTGCCGTAACCTTGAACGATCAGTCTCAGCGGCTGGCTATTTTGTTGAGCGGAGAAATTTTACGCTCACTGTCGTCAAAATAGTTGTGACATGCGCACAGCTGCTGTTTTTGTTTTTCTGGACATAACCTCATTTTAATTTTCGGGTTTTGTGGCAGTCGGCAGTAGTGATGAACTAGTTCCTCTTTTCTAACAGCTCTTCAACAGCATAAAAGTGGCACCAAACCAAACAAATTACTAATAATAATAGTATATTGTTGTATTAGGAGTAGAAGCTTTACTTTTTTGTGCTGAAGCAGTAGGTTTGCGAGCCGAACGTAGGGAGGCTTGCAATACTGCTGAAGCACAAAAAAGTGCTTCTACTCCGTATGCAACACGCTATTTTTTCTCCAAGCTAATGGGGTAAGCTCGGGGGCAAGTGAATGGTTGAGCGGCAGTAAAAGTACGAGTGGCACTAAAAGTACTTTTGCTGCCGCTGGGGTTGCCAAGCAGCATAGAAATTTAACTTTTACCACCTCGACAGGTGTTATAACCCGCTGGATTTGCCTCGCAGCATAGAAATCAAATTTCTGACATCTTGACAGGGGTTAACAAAGTGACGTTTTTTTGACGTTTGGAGAAAAAATAAATTACCGTACAGACAACATGTAAACAAAAACAGCTGTGGGGAAAACTGACAGTGGGTCAACTTTCGTTTAGCAGAAATCAGCTATTAGAAAAAAAAAATAGAAAAATGCCTTCAAAAAACCTCCATAAAAACGAAAACACACAAATTTTTCTGCGGAAATGCTTCACATTGTTCACTTCCATTTTCCGGACTTTAGAATAGCTGAAATCAGTTATGTGAAAAATTTTTGTTTGTTTTCATTTTCAACATTTTTCTGAACATACAAACACAAAATTTTTGCTGCGGAAATAAGCTGTTTTCATTTTCCGGAAAAATTTATGAGTCTTCAATCAATTACGTGAAAAATTGATATTCCTTTGCATTGTAAATATTTTTCTGAATGTAAAAAAGGAAAAATTTTCTCGCGGAAATACACAGTTTCTATTTTCGAAGCCATTCAAAAAACGCCTCTTCCCGACCTTTGATGAAAATAAATGCGGAAAATGCACATTTTCCATCAGAAAATTATATTTAAAATTGACGATTTGGCCCAACCTTCAAAAATCAACTACGAAAATATCCTACTATCGGTCGCTATCAGCGCGCTTTGTTATCAACCAGTACACTTTGACCAGTAATAAACGAACTGTAACGAAACTAACCAAAAATATGCAAACTAACCGAAACTAACCCATCCATGTAATGCGTGCTAGTCCTTGCAGGTAAATATTGAATTTAGAAAAACAACAGCGCGCTCCGCGCGCTTTGTTATTAGTCAGTAGTCCAGTACACTTATAACCAGTATTAAATGAACTGTAACGAGATTAACCAAAAATATGCAAACTAGCCCAAACTAACCCGTCCACGTAATGCGTACTAGTCCTTGCATGTATTGAATTTAGAAAAACAACAGCGCGCTTCGCTCGCTTTGTTATTAACCAGTAGTCCAGTACACTTATAACCAGTATTAAATGAACTGTAACGAAACTAACCAAAAATATGCAAACTAGCCCAAACTAACCCGTCCACGTAATGCGTACTAGTCCTTGCATGTATTGAATTTAGAAAAACAAAAGCGCGCTTCGCGCGCTTGGTTATTAACCAGTAGTCCAGTACACTTTTAACTAGTATTAAATGAACTGTAACGAAACTAACCAAATATATGCAAACTAGCCCAAACTAACCCGTCCACGTAATGCGTACTAGTCCTTGCATGTATTGAATTTAGAAAAACAACAGCGCGCTTCGCGCGCTTGGTTATTAACCAGTAGTCCAGTACACTTTTAACCAGTATTAAATGAACTGTAACGAAACTAACCAAATATATGCAAACTAACCCAAACTAACCCAAACTAGTCCTTGAATGTTAATATTGAAATTAGAAAAACACAAACGCGCTTCGTGCTGTTTACTTACAACCAGTATTAAACGAACTGTAACGAAACCAAACGAAACTAACCAAAAATATGCAAACTACCGCTGACGAATTGGTGAAAAAATGATGAGCATTAAGTAGATAGATGAATTCTAGATATGGTTTAGTAATAATATAGTGAAATGTAAAATTACCGAAACCGACTAAAGATTCACATCCATTTGACAATCCATTTATAATCTGTAATTTTTCACATGTTTTTGTTTATGAGTAACGTTTTATTGATTTTTTCTGTTTTTTTTTCTCTGAATAGCGGTTTTAAATTGATGTAAAGTATTTATTTTCTAGAAAATTCGTATTTTAGAATGGAGAGTCTCTTGAGAAGTTGTTAGTGCAAAATTTCAGAAGTTTGGAAGTTAGGGAGAAATATGCTAAAATCCAACAGTTTAGTAAAGAGGTAAAGGTTCGTTGAAGGTGAATAGAATCCTTGTGGCGCTAATTTCACTGTTTGATCTAAGCCGCCATAGTGATTCGATTGCCCTATTACAACCAAACAAGTGAATAATTATAACGTATTTCCGCAATAAAATTTTCACGTTTTCATATTCAGGAAATTTTTTAAAATGCAAGTGAACATCAATTTTTCACACAATTGATTTCAACTATTCTAAAGTCTGATGAATTTCTCCGAAAAATGGAAACAGCAAGGAAACAGCCTATTTCCGCGGAAAAATTTTTGTGTTTAAAATGCAAAGCAAACAATTTTTTCAATGTAACTAATTTCAGCTATTCTAAAGTCCGGAAAATGGAAATGACGCATTACCGCAGAAAAATGTATGTGTGTCTGATAAAAGGAAGACTTTCTGAAAACAACTGTAACAACATCTCTTATATACCTGATTTCAGCTAAACGAAAGTTGAGCCCTGACAGTAAGAGCTGTAAAATTAAGCGGAGCGTTCCAAGCGCTCGCAACTGTTGAGTGTGAGCTTTTTCCTGCTCAGTTCAGCAGCTTAGTCACTTAGAACGCGCCCATTCTTATCTTAGTTTTTCATAAACTATCATTTGACACCAATTTTGAATTTAATCCATGAATAAAAATTTCACTTAAATTATTAATCTCCGGTTAAATTCAAAGTTGGTGTCAAATGATAGCTTATGAAAATCTAAGACAAAAATATAAAATCGGTGTTTCTGTAAAATCAATCGTTTAGGTTTTACAGTCTGTCAA